GGTACAAAAGCAACGCACTGCTAACACAATATAGAACTGAAAGATTACCGCTAATTCCGCGTTCGAATTTAGTCTTAGCGTAGATAGTCCGAGCATTGAAAGTCCGAGCATAGATAGTCCGAGGCAGGTCTCGCCAGAGGATGTAAGCTAGCTCTGTTCAGGGCTTGATTTCTTCTTTGATCATTTTTTGGCTTTAGTTCCCTCTTCTCTTCCTCACTGTTGTGTGGTTTGGGCTGTTTTCTGTGTCTGCAGTTACAGCCAGAGGAGTTGTAGCCACTTATGCTAACATGCTACTGTGTTTAGCAGCGCTGTAGAGGCTAGAGGACGCAGCCTCGTTCTGTGATTGGAGGAGAGCGGGCGTCACGCTAAGTCTCTACTCAGCACTTTTTACGGCCTGAGTTCATACACAGCTGAATCAATGAGCTCAAGTTTTACATTAAATTACGGATTATAACACAACTTGTATGTAGTAATAAGCAATTTTATGAACTACTTAGAAAATAAATGTGTGTGCGTGCATGTACGTTTGCGTGTCTATACGTGTGTGTGTGTGTGTGTGTTTGCGTGTCTATACGTGTGTGTGTGTGTGTGTTTGTATGTGTGTGTGTGTGTGTGTGTGTGTCTGTGTGTGTGTGTGTACCTGGGCTGCTGCAGCTCAGTGGGACTCCCTTTCCTCTTCAGAGTCCCCTCGGGCCCCTGAGGCTCTGGGCTCCGGCCTCCGCTGCTCATCTTCTCTCTAGCACCACCTGCAGGAAGCACACAGCACTTTACACTCTCAGCCCAAAGAGTCACGTAGTGCTGCACCAGGCTGTGGTCTGCTTTGTTCACAGCGTTACTTTGATAAGACTCTTTCTGTCTCATAAACTACATGTTGTTTATGAGACAGAAAAGTTAAGTATCTGAGCTTTAATCTACTTTTCTATTGGTCAGTTTGAACATAAACAGTGTTGTCTCTGTCGGTCGCTCTTCACTGAGTCAGACCAAAGCAAAGTCCAACTACTGCAATACTGCTCCATACGCAGTACTACTACTGCGATACTGCTCCATATGTAGTACTGCTACTACAATACTGCTCCATATGCAGTACTACTACTGCAATACTGCTCCATATGCAGTACTACTACTGCGATACTGCTCCATATGTAGTACTGCTACTGCGATACTGCTCCATATGTAGTACTGCTACTACAATACTGCTCCATATGCAGTACTACTACTGCAATACTGCTCCATATGCAGTACTACTACTGCAATACTGCTCCATATGCAGTACTACTACTGCAATACTGCTCCATATGTAGTACTGCTACTACTATACTGCTCCATATGTAGTACTGTTACTACTATACTGCTCCATATGTAGTACTGCTACTACAATACTGCTCCATATTCAGTAATACTACTGCAACACTGCTGTGTATGCAGTACAAGGACTTTCACTTTCAGTAAAGAGCCTCAGAGTCTGAAGTACTACATTAAAAGTACAGATAAGGGTACACAAAATCAAATAAAAGTACCAAAGTACAAGTTTTGTATTATCTGTACGGATATGCCCAATGTCAGTTAATCCTTAACAGACTATTTTTCTATAAAACACATCTCTTGTCTCTCTCTCTCTGGTCTCTCTCTCTCTCTGGTCCCTCTCTCTGGTCTGTCTCTCTGGTCTCTCTCTCTCTGGTCCCTCTCTCTGGTCTGTCTCTCTGGTCTCTCTCTCTGGTCTCTCTCTGGTCTCTCTCTCTGGTCTCTCTCTGGTCCCTCTCTGGTCCCTCTCTCTGGTCTCTCTCTCTCTGGTCTCTCTCTGGTCCCTCTCTCTGGTCTGTCTCTCTGGTCTCTCTCTCTCTGGTCTCTCTCTGGTCCCTCTCTCTGGTCTGTCTCTCTGGTCCCTCTCTCTGGTCTGTCTCTCTGGTCCCTCTCTCTGGTCTGTCTCTCTGGTCCCCCTCTCTGGTCTCTCTGGTCTCGCTGGTCTCTCTCTCTCTGGTCTCTCTCAGGTTTCTCTCTGGTCTCTCTCAAACCATGACTTCAGAAGACTTATTTTGAAACTGGTAAGTTTGTTTTGAGCCTTATATGTGGACACATTCATATCCTCCTGTGGTGACAACCTTTCCCTGTCAACACGGGTCAAAAAACTGTATCTGTGTGTTGCCACCAAGGAAAAAAGGCCGCCGATTGCCAATTTGAGGTGATCAGCCTCTCTCTCCACGCCCTCCTGCCCCCTCTCTCCTCTCTCCCCTATGACATGGGTCTAAACAAAACGCCAACCTTTCCCAGAGTCTGTTTTTTGTCTCAGTCCCTACTTGTCAGTCTCTGCCTTAATTTTTGGATCTCAGTCACTGGTTTTCGGTCTCAGGCGCTGGTTTTCGGTCTTGGTCTCTGGTTTTCGGTCTCAGTCCCTGGTTTTCGGTCTCAGTCCTGATCTGAGTCTGGCCTGGGAGACTTTGGCCCTCAGCTGTTTAAACATGAGTCGTGTTTGGAGAAAAACCTGATGAACTGAAGCCACAGGAGTCTGGCCTCAGGTCCCGGAGACACAGGGGCCCCGCCAGCCCCTGAGCAGAGACCAGAGCTGAGACCGGAGCGGAGGCCAGAGCGGAGACCAGAGCGGAGACCAGAGCGGAGACCAGAGCGGAGACCAGAGCCAAGACCAAAGGGTCCTCAAAACGTATTTATAAATCAAATGAAACAGGATAAAAGTCTGCATTTCTTGAATGTTTTGATACATTTTAAAGGAGAATCTGCAGAATTCACTTTTTGCTCTTTTATCCATGTTCCACCGTTGTCCCTCAGTCAGACACAGACCCGCAGTTGATTTTAGATCCATCCACAGTGATATCAGGAACCCTGAAATCATTGTGCCCTAACCCGCTTTTGTCCTGCTTTAGACCTGCTTTTGTCCTGCTTTAGACCTGCTTTTGTCCTGCTTTAGACCTGCATTAAACCTGCTTTAGTCCTGCTTTAGACCTGCTTTAGACCTGCTTTGAGTCTTGCTTCATACCTGATTTAAACCTGTTTCAGTCCTGCTTGAGTCCTGCTTGAGTACTGCTTTAGTCCCTGCTTTAGGCCTGCTTTAGTCCTTGCTCTAGACCTGTTTAAGACCTGCTTTAGACTGGCTATAGACCTGCTTTAGACCTGCTTTAGACCTGCTTCAGTCCCTCTTTAGACCTGCTATAGACCTGCCTTTGATCTGCTTTAGACCTGTTTTAGACCTGCTTTGGACCTGGTTCAGTCCATCGGCTGTAGAGGACTGGAGTGAGGTCACCATCTTCTTTTCCTTATATGGGCATTTGTTCCGACAGGGCGACCCACGCGCCATAACAGGGGCAGATACAAACGTGTTGCTAACGTGGTTGCTACAGCGAAAAGGAGTTTCCCCGGCGAAGGAAGGAAAACAAAAGTGTAAAAAGCTAGTACTGATTAATTACTCTGACCACGGCAGGAGTCTACTGCCAAAACATTTATTTTTTAACTTAATTTATGTATTTGTCTTATTAGTTTATTTGACATTTTAATAAACATTTCTGTAAATGCACCAGAATCAGCCAAGTAGGCTATTTCAACATTTATAGCCAAGGCTAATTTCCAATGTTATTAAAAAGAACCCTCTAAACTTTAAAGATAAAAGAAAACACAATTCACTTATGACAGTAAGCTAGCAGGTTAGCATTAGCACTGTCCATGTGTTTACAGTCGGTGTTTTGGTTCGGAGCATCGCAGCCGCAGGAGACAGAGCTCACATAATATTGAGTTTGTCTTGAGTGTCGAGCAGCAGGAGCAGGAGGCTGAGAATGCTCCGTTTTCCACGTCACAAAAGGCTGAAGGAGTGTATTTGTGTATTTCAGCAGGTGCCAACACAACTCAATGGGAAAGAAGACTTTTTTTTAAAGAAATGTTGATTCAATAAACCCAGATTATTGGATAGAGGTTCGATTGACAAAGCTGCCGTGTTATTCTCAGGTCTGAAAGTCGGTTCCACTTGTGATCGTTATGTTTTTGAATATTGTCAACACTTCTAAAGAGCTTTAGGAGAAAATAATGAGAGGAGTGAGAGACCAGAAAGCAACCAGAAACCAGAAACCAGAGACCAGCGAGAGACCAGAGACAGACCGGAGAAAGTGACCAGAGAGACCAAAGAGACCAGAGAGAGACCAAAGAGAGACCAAAGAGAGAGAGACTAGAGAGAGACCAGAGAGAGACCAAAGAGAGACCAAAGAGAGAGAGACCAGAGAAAGACCAAAGAGACCAGAGAAAGACCTAAGAGAGACCAAAGAGACCAGAGAGAGACCAAAGAGACCAGAGAGAGACCAGAGAGAGATCAGAGAGAGATCGAAGAGAATGATAGGAGAGCAACCAAGGAGAGAGACCAGCGAGAGACCAGAGAGAGACCAGAAAGAGACCAGAGAGACTAGAAAGAGACCAGAGAGAGATGGAAGAGAATGATTGGAGAGCAACCAAGAAGAGAGACCAGAAAGAGATCAGGGAGAGACCAGAGACCAGAAAGACCAAAGAGACAAAAGAGACAAGAGAGACCAGAGATACCAGAGAGATTCAACCGTGGAAACTGCAGCCGCTAGGACCAGACCCAGACGTCCATGTAGGAAATGATCATGAAGCAGAGTTTACACATGGTAAGACCAGACTAGCCACAATCTAGTGCTAGAGGCAAATGGTCTGGAGCCAGGAACGACTGACATAGATTTGAGATGCCAGTTGGAGTGATGCGCTCTGAAAGTACAGTACCCCAGCTTTAAGGAGCATTCTGCACTGAGCGTTCTGTGAGGGGAGGGTCCTGTGTCCTCGCTCGACTGCTGCAGATGTGCGTCTCCTGCTGCGCTTTGTGTGAAGAGACGGACACACAATTATAAATGATAATAAATATTGATAACTTTTGGTTTTCTGGATCAAACAGCTGCAGAGGAAACACGGACCAGAGTTTCTGTCCATGTCCTCCACCGAAACACACTCCAAGAAATCTATCATCTTTGAGTTTCTTAAAGCTGAGCTACGTAACTTTCAAACCACAACGGAGCAAAGTCATTAAAATCCCTAGTTCCTCTGATACAGTTCTTTAGATAGATGCACTATAGATTAATACCAAAGGGCATTTAGGTCCCTGGTCCTGGTCCTGGTCTTGATCCTGGTCTTGGTCCTGGTCCTGGTCCTGGTCCTGGTCTTGGTCCTGGTCTTGGTCTTGGTCTTGGTCCTGGTCTTCTGGTCTTTCTCTTGGTCCTGGTCTTGGTCTTTCTCTTGATCCTTCTCTTGGTCCTGGTCTTGGCCTTTCTCTTGATCCTTCTCTTGATCCTGGTCTTAGTCCTTCTCTTGATCCTTCTCTTGGTCCTTCTCTTGGTCCTTCTCTTGGTCCTTCTCTTGGTCCTTCTCTTGGTCCTTCTCTTGGTCCTTCTCTTGGTCCTTCTCTTGGTCCTTCTCTTGGTCCTTCTCTTGGTCCTTCGCTTGGTCCTTCGCTTGGTCCTTCTCTTGGTCCTGGTCTTGGTCCTGGTCTTGGGCCTTCCCTTGGTCTTTATCTTGGTCCTTCACTTGGTCCTGGTCTTTGTACTGGTCTTAGTCCTGGTCTTGCTCCTGGTTTTGGTCTTTGTAATTGTCCTGTAATTGACCCTCTCTCAGCCAATCAGCTCTCAGCCAATCAGCTCTCAGCCCAAAGAGCCAAACAGTGACTCACAGGGATCTTTCTAATGTTGTGGTCTGGTTTGTTCACAGCATTTTGTTCCAAAGGTAATTCAGAGACAAAGCTTTAGTT